TTTGCTGAACTTAAATTATTTTACTGAAATTATTTTTACTGAACTAAAATTTATTTTGCTGAAATGAAATTATTTTTACTGATTCTCTATTATATTTCTTCTTTAGAGTTACTGATTTTTACTAAAGTGAAATTATTTTTACTGAGCTGAAATTAATTATACTAAATTGAAATTATTTTTACTGACTGAACTGAAATTATTTACTGAATATTATTTATTTAAGGTGAACTAAACAAGGCCTAAATACAAAGAATAGACTGTACATGAATAAAACCATTGCAGTCTCACTTAATCCCCAAATCATTTTGGGACTAAGGCTTTATTGTTGTTGTTGTAGTCTTACTCAATGCGGGTCGGGTTCATCATTAAATTGGTAGTTGGGTGGCAGACTACCTCCAAGTACTAAAGGGAGGACTGCCCTAGTGCTAGTGTTAACTCTTTACATTTTCATGAAAAATTCCCCACAAAGTAACCTTTTAACGTAGAATATTTTTTCCAACTTTACCTTCTGCTACTCTTTCTTTACCTTTTAAAGTGTTAATATAGATTATTCGAGACTTAGGATAGTCAAATATGTTGTTTGAACACCAATATACTGCATTAGAGCCCAATAAACCCCCATGAGGCCCACTCTTGGATCCTACTTGATTTCAGCATCCATTTAGGCATCTTTTGGTTCACTTAGCTAGAATGGATTGGTACGAAGATCCATACCAAGGAGGTATGATTCAACACCCCATATTAACCTTAAATTGATTGGTTAATTTTGGTATGGATTATGAATCCATTGTTGATGCTTGGTTCACTCTTGTATTAGAACGAATTCTAGCTTTAATTCATTTTTCTTTTTGCCTTTTTACATACCATATATAACTTTAGTAATTTTTAAACCCATTTATTCTCATATGGTATTAAGGCTTTGATGGATTGATTGTTTGATTTATTCTCATAAATGTACAGTATACACTTAAGTAGGTTTTCTTTCTTTTATTTATTTATTGTTTAAAGTACAAAAGTAGTAAAAAAATGAAAAAAATGCCAATCTGAAATAGAAACTACCGTCGCAAAAAATTGTAAAATCAATTAATTCAACTCACAAGTTAGGATCATAACATCATATCTATCCACCACCATCTGATTAAAGTGTATTGCCCCCAAAAAAATACACGAGATATATAAAAAAAAAAAAAAAAAGAAAAAAAAAAATCTAGAATTTGCCTTTACAAATGAAGAATTAAGGCTCCTGGTAAATTCCGCGCAAGACTCCGCGCCCCCCCCCCCAAACACCCATATCCAAAACCATCCAACTTCACCTCGAAACCACCCCCACCCAAATTAACCTTGAACCCACCTCTTCCCACCTGAAATAGTGATTTTGTTTATTTCATTCAAAGGTTTACCATAAAGCACCTAAAGTTAACCATAAAAAAAAGGGCACATTGGAGATTTAAACATAATCATAGTGGACCAAAAAAATAAAGTGCAATAATTAGAGGCCACCATGTAGAATATTCCAAAAAAAAAATCAACCATTTTGAACGAGAATCTATTAGTCTACATATGCCGGAGAAGGAATGATTGAATGGCAATTGGAAGCGTTGGTCCAGCTTGTAGTTTAATTCTTGTGTGTCGTGGGGTGTTTATCTTGGGTGGATTGGAATAAGAACCTATGGGGAGTGGAATGCGTATGAGATTATAGGAGGATGTGGTGGAGTCAGAATCAAGTTCCGTGTTCAAAAAACCCAAACAAACAACAAGAAGTCCAACTAAATGCCCCTTTAGTCTTTTGACAAGATTTTTTTTTGGCCGTGGTATAAATATAAAGGTCACCACTTTAATTGTGCATGGAAGCAAAGATTCAATACAACTTTACAAGTTTTGCGTTTAGGTTGATTACTTAAGGAGGAATCTTAATATAAGTGTATTGTCATTTATAAGCTAAGGTGCTCGAACTCAGGTATTCAATCTGATTAGACAGGAAATATTAAATTAAGGCTTCAAGAGAACTTTTTCAAAGGATCCAAAACTTGAAATGTACCAAGTGACACAAATCTAAAAATAAATTAAGATTTTTACAACTTATTTTTAATAAAATAATGAAGTGTTGAAAAGAGTAAGGGGTAGCGGGTCACAAAATGAGTTTTCAAATTTTTTACTGTATTATTTATTTTGTTTATATTTATTCCTGTTTATAACTAATGGAGTTTAAGTAAAGACCGAGAATTCCCTTAAAAAAAGTGTGACTAAATACATCTGTTGGGGCTCATAGTGTAGTCACGTATATTCTTTCCCACCTATCCTCATTTTTAAAACAACAAAAATAAAAATAAAATAAGAGGAAAAATGTAGAACACACCAAATGGGGAAAATGTCGAAGAAGACTAGCTTCCCGCTGCCAGAGAAGAATACCAGAGGATTGTGGGACCGGAAGTCTTGTCTCTCTCTTTCTCTCAAAAGCCCCAATGTCATGGTTATTATTAATGTTAATATGTACTTCGATTATAGATCCAGTGTTAGTGTTAGTGTGTGCCAAGCCACTTTCTCTCCCAATAGTTGTACCAGATTTCATGTCCACTCTCATGTCCACTCTCATGTCCACTCTCGGGTTGTGTGAGTGCACATAAGGGTGGTGTGGGCTGATTTTGAGCATCACAGGGTGGAAGGATATGCAACTTTACTAGAGTTATTAAAAAAAATCCCCTCCCGTGAACCCTCTTAAAGTCCAATGTATCATGTATCTTATGTCTATGTTACCAAGCAATTGTATATTCATCCAAACAAGATGATGAAACCATGGCTAATTGTGGGAAATTTACCTAGCTTTATCACTAATCGGCTAAATGCCTAAATCTGATCATGGGTTGCTTTAGGCTCCGAGGTGTTGGGAACAGAGCAATAGATAAACACAATATTGGGAAAAATAATAAAATACGGAACTACAAAAACAACACACAAGTTTTTTACGTGGAAAACCCCTCATCAACAATCCCCATAGCGATCTCTAGGACAAAAACAACTTTACTATCAATAATTTTAGGTGTACAAAGACCACCACCACAATTACAATTATCAAATACAATGTATTTTAGGATAGTCTGCACTAAGTACCCTTAACATTGGTACTTATACAAATTTTAAAATACCCCTCACACTAATATTGTGTTTGCCTATCGTCTGTTCCTCCCTCACTACTACAGCTATTGTGCTCTCCTTCTTGAGATGCACTCATTGCTTTTGTACATCATTGCTAGCTACTGCATTTTTCTAGCCTCTCCCATAGTGTGTGCCTTCTCACACACACCCACAGCTTGTATCACACTTCTCATATATATGCATACGATAAAGCTTCTCATTCAAACTTCTCAACTACATGCATAAATACTAGTAAGCAAAGCCAGCACCTATTTTCTACTAGGTTTGACACCAACATGACTATCTTGGACTATCAAGTCCACTAACTCAATGCCCAATTCAATCATCCATCTTCGATGCATTCTCTCTCTCTCTTTTTTTTTTTTTTTTTTTTTTTTTTATTTATTTTCTTTTTGTTTTTTCATTTTTACTTTCTTACATATATTACTAACAATAGTAATACTACTCAACTAACCGTGATTTGGGGATATTAACCCAACACGAGGATTGCTCACTTCTTGATTGCCTAAATAGTGCCTAACAGCCAGGGAACATTTTCTCTTTTGTTGAACAATGTGAAAGGTTTTCATGAAATTGTTCATTAGATTGAATAGACTTTGCTACTGCATGAAAATAGTAATAAATTAAAGTCCTATATGTCTAGGAAGCTTTGATTGGAAAAGTTAAAATTATTGAAGATTCTACTAATAAGCTTCTTATGAACTGAGAGTTTAACCTCTTAAGTTTGTTTCCTTGAAGATTGGACAAGAAGGGGCTAGCTGATTTAACGGATGACGTCTTTACAAAAATTTCACATGCTTGATGTTTTATTTTATCCTAAATTATCCATAAATTCTTACGACACTCAGTTTAGGATGATAGTGTGCTGGTTCTCCCTGTCTTTTTCAAATTTCCTCTCTTCACAGACTTGTTTTGTTTCATGGCTTTTGTTTTTCGTTGCAATGATGTAAGTGCGGCGGCAGGAGTTTGTGTTTTGTTGGTGGTGGGAGGTTTTTTTTTTCTATTTTTTATTTATTTGATGACAGTGGCTGGCAGTGGTAGTTTGGTTTGATGGCTTTGGTGGTTGGATTTTGATGAAGGGGTGCTGGCTCGGCTTTGAGAGTTGTGGGTGGACATACAATAATGGAATTGCCATGTTTAGTTGGTGGCTGTGGTGATGGATGGGAATGGGGCTGAGGATGTTTGTAATTTAGTAGTGAGGGAAGGAAAAGGCCATGGTTCTTGAGGATATAAGTTAATGGGGAGGGGCTAACTGGTTTAGGGTGAGGTTACTTAGGCAACTTAACATCTATCTATCATCAAACACTTTTTGTGCAAACCCCAAGTGGTACCCCCTTGAAATTTTAAAACCATGTGGTGCCTCATGCATTTTATTAAACCTCAGGAGTACCACCTTATAATTCTTTTATAATTGCATAATGCACAAACTGTAAACAACTTTGTTTTGTATTCTTATGTTTTTATAAAATTCATTTATCCACTTCATTATGTTTATATAGTATCATACTGCTCATTCTGTTAATGTTTGTTCCATTAGACTTTTTTTTACAGTTTTCAATGCATAATTTTGATCATCTTTTTTAACTTACTAATTAAATATTTATGAAAAGTTAATATTTTGATACTATATATTGAAACAAATTTTACAAGTTCATGATTATGTTTTTTTCTTATGTATATTGATGGGTATTCATGGTTAAAAGTTCTCTCTGCAAATGGAATATTACACAATGGGGAAACCTAAAGGAACACAGGAAGCACATTTTATAGAATGCTGTGACAGTCCAGTTCTCCCTGACTAATTTCATGTGGTTTGATACTTGACATTTGTTTTTGACACAATGTAGGTCTTGCAGAAAGCCTTGGAAGTGTGGGATTTGCAGGTCATTCCTTTAGATTCACCAGTAGCAGAACCAGCTCAAATTGACCCTGAAGAGGAAAATGCTTTCATATGTCATTTGCAGGATCACTGGTTTACCATAAGAAAGGTGAATGGAGAGTGGTATAATTTTGATAGCCTTTATGCAGCTCCAGAGCAGCTTTCCAAATTCTACCTCTCTGCATATCTTGACTCGCTAAAAGGAGCTGGGTGGAGTATTTTTCTTGTGAGAGGAAACTTCCCAAAGGAGTGTCCTCTTTCATCCGAAGCTTCAAATGGTTTTGGTCAGTGGCTGACTCCTGAAGATTGTGTGAGGATACTAAAAGCCTGCAACTCAAAGGGTGAATCATCACGTGCAGTTGATCCAGTTAGGAGACAGACTTCTGATCAATTCCCATCACTTTCTGAGGCAGAACTTCTTGCCATGGAGGATGAAGATCTAAAAGCTGCTATAGCTGCCAGCTTAATGGATTCTACCCCTGCCATAACCATTTCAGAAGCTAGTGTCCCTTCTACTGAGAAATCGAATTGAGTGCATGCTACATATCAAAATACCCCCTGTCCCAGAAGTTTCCATTGGGTGCCTGAGCTCTCCCATGCATAAAGCGTTTGTGCATCTAGTTTATGCATCTGTTGGTTCCTCCATATCTTACTGAATGATAGACGTTGCATAAGCTTTTGTGCCGGTGACTAACCTTTAAACATTTCCATTGAGAGGTAAATTAAAAAAAAAAAAAAAAAAAATTCCTCCTTTCCCAGGCTGGTGTAATATCAATTAATTGTGATATATTTGTTTTGCTTGCAACTTTCTTTTTGAATTGAAACCACAGCATGTAATTGGTAGCGTTTCTGATTAACTTCATTTGTTGGTGCATTTGAAGTTAACAATCTTAGCATTTTAATTTATTTATTTATATTTATTTTGTATTTATAATTATTGATTGACAAGAAGCTACTCACTCCAATTCTAAATAAGTGCATCACTTGCCTTATTTTACAATTTTCGAATATGTTAATGGTGATCAACAATGGCCTAGCCTAATGGCCTGGTCGGCCCGAAAAAACGTGTGGTTTTATGCTACCCTAAAAATGTATTTTTAGATTGAAATTCAAGTCTGGTTCAGAAAATTCCTGATACGGAAGACGTTTTTGTGAGTTTGGACACAAGATTTTGTACTAAGGTTTAGCTTGGCCAAATCTTTTATCACCTTGCCTCACTCAACTGTCGTCTCTGAATAAATGCACCATTCCCTCAATAAGAAATCACTCTATATATCCCACGGCAGCCGCACAATATCCCATTCTCTTAATCTTCGGCAGCTGCACCACCTCACGACAACCCTAAGCAGTAGCAAGCGCTGCTAGCACCCATATCCTTGCTCGACAACATTAACCCTTACTCTCATGCCATGCTAGCAACAATAGCAGTCATAGCATCCCGCACACGCTAAACACCCCAAGCTCAAACACAGAAAACGAGGTAGGAACTTTCATGAGTTCGGTGACGCATGGGCCACACGTGCACTACCCATAATCTCACCCATAGGAGTCGCCCTCTAGCACGTACTTTGGTGATGATCGAATTATTGAAAGATGATGCTGATAATCATTGGTTCTCCATGATGATGCTGCATGGTGATGATTGATTTAGAGCAGCCATAAAAGAAAGAAGGGGGCCTTATTTAGTTTTTTTTACTAGATATTAGTCTGTGCGATGCACAACTTTTACGGGAGAAAAATTAATCGAATCTCTTTCATATATAATTTTAATTTTTTTTACATAATAAAAAAAAGCAATCTCCTTTATTGGTATTAGTTAAGACTATTAATAATTTAAAAAGCAGTTTCTCTTTTGTTCGAGATTATTATATATATTTGAGAAAATCAAAATTTCAAATCATCATTTATTTTTTTCTTTTTTAAAGTGACACTTCAATTCAAACTCTCAAATCTCATTTTTATTCTTTTACTTAATTGGCGATTAATAAAACAAAAGATTATCTCTTTTTTTATTGGTCGAAATAATAGCTCAAGAATATTTTTGACTATTAGAAAAAATGATAATTTTTATGTTATTACTTATAGTTGATATAATTTACATGACACTTGAATCTATAAAAATTAAAGTAGAATGTGAAAACCTTTTTCCCATTTATCAGATCTATATTTAGATAATAAAATCCTTAACATCAAAAGTGTTGGGTTTTGTGGTGTCCGACACCGCACGGAAACGAAACCCAATAACTGGATCACATGCATAATAATTACAACATAAATAAAAGCATGCATAATAAACATAAACCTAAGAAAAGAGAGAGAAGAGAAAGAAAGAATGCTCACCCTTGTAGTGTGCTTCGCTCAACTGTTGAGCTCGGACTTGAAAGTTTCAAGTTCCGCAAATGCGAGAACCTCTAACGGCTCACACCCTCGCTACCAAACCGAACCGGTCCCTACCCCGAAGCTTAGTTGGGGCTAGACCAAAAACAACGTAGACTTTAAGAACAAAGGTTTTCTAGCTTTTGGAGATCCCTTAAAGTTCACCAACTCAAGTGCCTTTTCCCAATGCCAAATGATTGGTATTTATAGGGAATAAAGCTCAAGAATTCCCATCATCTTTCAATGTGGGATAGTTGGTAAAAAGGCAAAATAGAATTTAATTTAATTCCAAAATTAAAATAGAAAGTCAAATGAATCACCAAACAACAAGTGGCATGAGGAGACCAAGGGGTTAGGTGAAGACCACAAGGAGAGGACCACCTTCCCCTTGCTCCCCAAGCAAACCCTCTCAAATGATCGACCCCAATAGGAACCGTCCAGCTGGCTGCTCATCCTTGAGCAATAAGGCGTGCCACGCTGGGAGCCCTTGTGCTCGATGGGCTGGCTAGCTTGGCCCATGCGCTGGCAACCTCGCACCAGCCCGCAACATCGTGCCTCGCATATGCTGGCTGCTTACTGCCGGGCGTTGCTGTTGTGCCGCTTGTGCGAATGTCTAGGTATGCTAGCGTGACTAGCTGGCGCTAGCAGCTGCTAGTGAGGCCAGCGCGCTAGCTTGCGGCTGGCCTTGCTAGCATGCTTGCTCGGCCAGCAAGCCCCAGCTAGCACCCGCATGGGGCTGCTGGGCTTGCGGCCTTGCTAGTGGGTATGGCTAGCAACCCTTTATAGCCTAGCCTTCGCTTGGCTAGGCCAACACTAGGCTAAGGCTATATTTTGACTTGTTGTTTGGATGATCTTTCCGTCTCGTCGATTCATAAAATCGCCTCGACTTACGACGCTTGGGTTCGACGCTCTAAGCTCGGAATCCGACGTCTTTGTTCGTAAAATATCTATTGACTAATTTAATCCTTCGGATTAATTCATTGCTTCGGTTCGATTATAAGATTGGGTGTGACCTAAGGTTTCAGTCAAGATTAAGCTGTATATTAATTATTCATTAAAATTACTTATCAGAAGCGGCCTCTAGTTAGGCATTCCGATCACTTGACCTCACTGAATAATTAGCTTTCTAATTAATTCCAAACCCTCTATCGAAATAATACACTTGTTCGAAGGACACCATTCCTTTCAATCTCCTACTTGTCCTTTGGGACAAGGTTGCTAATTGTGTATAGCCTATTTCCTATGTCACTTAATGTCTCTTCATGAACTATAAGGTAAGATTATTCGTCATCCTTATTACGTCCAGAAGTGTTTCTCGATTTTCGAGTTCGGCTGTCAATAAGCAGATGATTTCTAAAATCCATCGGAGCATGACCATGCATTTTCATAGTCTCGCTCTTCGAGAGGCTTTGTAAACAACAAAGACATGTTCCCTACTGTTAATAGGGGGACATTCCCAGTCTTGCATTGTCAACTTCCCTTGCTGAGAGGCCCTAGCCGCCCAACTATTGCCTTTATAATCCCCTTGTACGGCAGACGTTTGACAACATCAAAGCGGACTAGTACTCAAACAAGAGAACTAATAATACTCATGGTCGAGGAAAGAGGTTCCGATAGCCATAATGAGTAATATACTTATGACGATTGTTAAATATCTTAAAGTATTCTCATAGGTCGATCCGGTATAGTTCCAAACTGATACCTGTACAAATGGTTTATGAAAATTTTGTCCTTGTAGCACAAGAAACGGTGCTATAAATTATACTACACACTAATCTCACGCGGTCATTAGTCGTCCAACTTTCAAATGACCTCGATTAGGGATAATTTCGATATGATATTCAACGTTCACTTAATGGGTGTTTCTTTATCCAAGACATGGTCTTGATACCCTATTTTGAATGTTCTCAAATCGAATGGATTGATTATTTAATTCTAAACCACAATTAAATAGAAATGGAATAATAATTTACAGAAAAAATTAAATTACTCCATAAATGAATGGGTTATCTTAGTGTTTTACATTAAGATTTCCACAACTTAATTAAAGCACACAAACAGGGAAATCAAAGCCAATCTCCAATATGCCTAATTCCCATTGCCTCAACGTGCTTGTTGTATTTCACTTGAGGCAAAGGTTTAGTGAGTGGATCGGCTACATTGTCGTTCGTTCCAATCTTGCAAATTCTGATTTCACCCTTGAATTTCCATTCCCTTATCATGTGAAATCGCCTCATGACATGTTTGACTTTCTGATGCTCCCTTGGCTCTCTGGCCTGAGCAATAGCCCCACTATTATCACAGTAGAGGTCTATTGGTCCCTTTATATAGGGGACAACACCAAGTTCACCAACGAACTTATGAATCCAAACTGCCTCCTTAGCTGCTTCTGAAGCTACCAAGTATTCAGCTTCAGTTGTAGAATCTGCAGTCAGGCTTTGCTTAGCACTCTTCCAACTGAACGCTCCTCCATTAAGACAGAACACTTATCCTGATTGTGATTTGAAGTCGTCTCTGTCATTCTGGAAGCTTGCGTCGGTATAACCTTCAACAACCAAATCCTTACTCCCACCATAGACCAGAAATTTATCCTTGTTCCTTTTCAGGTACTTTAGGATATTCTTGGCCGCAGTCCAATGCGCCTCTCCTGGGTCTGATTGGTATCAGCTCGTAGCACTCAAGGAATACGATACATCCGGCCTAGTAAATATCATGGCATACATGATCGATCCAATAAGCGAAGCATATGGAATCTGACTCATCCTCTCTTGCTCATCAGGTGTCTTCGGACACTGTTTCTTGCTGAGAGTTATGCCATGTGACATGGGTAGGTGGCCTTTTTTGGCTTCCTTCATATTGAATCATGCTAGTACCTTATCGATATAAGTACTTTGGCTCAATCCAATCATCCTTTTAGATCTATCCCTATAGATCTTGATGCCCAATATGTACTGTGCCTCTCCCAAGTCCTTCATTGAAAAACACTTTCCAAGCCGAGCCTTTACAGATTCCAACATCGGAATATTGTTTCCAATTAGCAATATGTCATTGACATATAAGACTAGGAATGCGATGTCACTCCCACTGACCTTCTTGTAAACACAAGACTCATCTGGATTCTAGATAAAACCAAACTCACTAATGGCTTCATCAATTTGCAGATTCCAACTTTTGATTGCCAGCTTTAGTCCATAAATGGACTTGTTAAGCTTGCATACCTTCCTAACATTGTTTGGATCTACAAAACCTTCTGGTTGTGTCATGTACACACTTTCTTCCAAAATCCCATTAAGGAAGGCGGTTTTGACGTCCATTTGCTATATCTCATAATCATAATATGCGGCAATTGCTAGGATAATCCGGACGGACTTAAGCATGGCGACTGACGAAAAGGTTTAACGCCGTGAATTTGCCTGTAACCTTTTGCCACCAATCTAGCTTTGTATACATATACATTTCCATCTTTGTCGGTTTTCAACTTGAAAATCCATTTGCAACCGATAAGTGTGTAACCTTCGAGCAAATCAATCAAGTCCTAGACTTGATTTTAAAACATGGAGT